GAAGTTCTGAGTGAGCAACTAGGTAGAAAAACTGACTCTAACTTTGGAGACTTCTCAATGTATTGGACGTACTAACAATTGAATTACAACTGAAGAACATCCGGAACTCAAAACAACTGCCTGTCAACCAACATCAAGGTAAGAAGTTTCAATAAAAATGTCAAGGCAGTCCTACTGTATGGGTCGGAAACTTGGAGAACTACGAAAACCGTCATTTAGAAGATGTCGGTAAAACTCATCCAAGATATCCCACAAAGAACAGGCGTTGTAATTTCGGACGGTTGATTGCTTTAGCTTTACCGGACAATCTACAACATTTGGAATGGGAAGTTTCATCTTAATGTGATGTGGAAGCTCATTGCATACGATCTAATGTGGCGGGAAACGGCCTGTTACACAGATTGTTCCAAAAATGTACAAGCAACCTACAGTCATCACGAACCGCACTCTTCGATTGCTAAGCCACACAGAGTACTGTCGTGAGAAATACAGGCGAACTGGTGACAACGGCGCGCACAGGCGATACAAACATACAATGAAAATATACACAAAGCCAATAGGGTAAGACAGGCCTCAGTATCAGATTAGGCATAGGAATAAATTTGTCGCCGATCCGAGAATATTATTCCTTTATGCAGCTTCTCTTCGATGAAACTAAACTGGAGTGTCTGAACTGCGAGGTTCTTATGGCCTGACCGACAGCGACGGCGACGCCGCTAAACCTCTCGCCGAACAGTACTCTTAGACATTTCAACCGACCCACACTAACCATACTGATAAGAGCTTAATCTGCAACTGCACTGGGCTTTCTGAAGTGAACTTGAGTGTTGTTTTTGGTGGACCAGAAAATGCAGAACCTAAAAAAGACTCTTCCCCTGGAACAGATATGGTTCATTATGTTATACTGAAGGAAATAGCTTCAATCCTGGCAATACAGCTTAGCGTGATGTCCTCACATTCGCTAAGCCAAGGCGCATTGGCGGAACTTTGTAGGGCGACTTGCCAGGAAGTCTTTTAAAAAGAAACTTGAAATATTCTTAAGGACTAAGGATGGTATCTTACTATGATTTAACGATTTCTTTTTCCTCTCTTATCGTTATATGTCTAGGTTCCGGCATGCAGGTATTGGCGATCTACTGCTGTTAGATACGGGGGCCTGTTGGGAGAAAGCTTCCTCTATTCCGTCCACAACCATTTGAACCATTTGATCGAGAATACCACATGAGGACAGATATTAATTTCAGGGAAAATCATCAATTTATTTGACCTTTTGTTGAAGAAAATCCAACAAAAAGCGGAGGGTAAAATAGAAGTTTATTACTATTAGCCTATGGTCGAGGCGCATCACGCTATATGATTTTTGAAACAAAAGTAATATGCTAACATTAAGCATAGTTCGGTCAACTAATGTAATCAAACTATCTAGAATTAACACTGCTTCATCGTATTTGCCTTTTGTTTTTTCTATTTTCATCATTTGCTCCTTCTTATTAGTGTGTAATATTTTCGTTATCCAATGAATA